CAAACTGCCCGGTGGCCGCACGGAGTGATGACTGCATCCTGGTGCGCTCTCACCATGCGACGAACTTCAGAATGCATAGCAGTCATTGGGAGCACATGTTCAAAGACCCGAAGAGGGAATAGGGTCTAAGACTAGGGCTTGCGGTTTACGTATTGGGGTCAGGCTTTAATGTTCAGGTGAGAGTTGATGGCTCAAGCGTGAGGGTTGAACTTGTGGGTTTAGGTGAGTTTTGTGTGATTCAGGGTGGCCTCGGAGAGGTTACAAGGGCCTAGGGTTTCAGCATCTTGTACCAAACGGGAGATCTCTAGGGCTTCAGGATGTCATCATAAGTGGAGCCCTCACACCCCGGTAAAACGGCAAGAAAGGATGAACCATCCATATCCACCCCTAGGAATCCTTTAAAAGAGCCCGTGGGATGGCTCATTCGTTCTTAACCACCAGCACGATGAGGTCAGCAATCACGGCAAGAGTCTTACAGCAAACAACCTCGGCATTCACTGTGAAAGGCTTCAGGATTAAAACTTGGGGGTCTCGTCAACACCCCGATCCTCGCCTCTACCGCAAAGCATACTCGGCAATAACAGGGTAACAATTGAAACCATATATTGTGGGAAGTCACCAGGTGCAGCGAACGATCAGAGTCCTCAGTGGGGAGAGGAAATTTTGCCGAGAGATGCGGAACTCAAGAAACCCAAAAGCCAAACACCAGCAACCCTCGGGAAACCATATCCCTGACTAGGCGGACCTTTTCTCTGTCTGCTCTAGCCACAATGTGGCAAAGCTCAGATACTAGATGGCCACGCAGCACTATGTCGCAGAGCAGTGTGTGTGTGTGTGTGTGTGTGTGTCGAACAGCAGCCTGTGTCACCATGTTGCCCAGCCGGCGCTCGCTCATCATCGCAGCCAAGGACAACCGCACGGCAGTGAACAGCGACATGAACGCCTGCTTACAACCAGAGGATCAGCGGCGCATGAAGCAGAGATGTCTTGCCAAGCAGGAAATTGACGAAGTCAGCCACGTTCAAGTTGCGGTCTGTGCATGGCCCCGCCACCGATCTCGTGACACTTCGCATGTGTTGACAGTAGCATCGGCAGTCCCGGTGGTTCCGGTGCTGATACAGCCCGCGAAGTGCAGTGCACTCAGAAAAGCCGTTGTAAATCCAAAAGGATCGGGCTGCCGAGTCCAATGGTTGCAGAATCAAAAACGGAACTTGATGTCGTCTTGCGAAGAACGTGGCTGCGCTAAGCACGGCGCGCCCACCACCTGACAAATGCTCGGAGCCACAGCCAGCAATCTGCATTCCATGCCCAGCACCCACCAATTGCAAAGCAGCTTTGGTTCTGAAGACTCCGCGGGCGCTGTACGCAGCGAACAAAAACTGCTTCTGCAATGCCAGCTTGAGGACTGTGCCTTCTTCCGGCGCTTCGCCATCGTTCAAATGGAAAAGCATGACTCGAATCGCTTCTCGGCCCAGGACTGACATAGGATCAACCTGCGCTGCAACCACTCCTTCTGCTGGTCGCGCTCCCCTGGGACGGATCTCTTCGTCATCAGTCTCAGAACCAATGTCTGAATCATCGTCGCACTCAGAACCGCAATCGCCTGCAATGCCTGCAGTGCTGAGGGCTGCCATGGCAAGGGTTGTACTGCGTGACCGCATAAACGCCTGTATCTTGCGGGCCGCCGCAGCCCGCTTTAAGGGAATCGCCAAGTGGTGCAAGACGTCCGTCACGGGAACACCTCGAAGTCGGGCCTCCTCAATCATGGATGGCAGCCGGCACCACCACGGCTGCAGCGTTGAAACGCACGCACTCGTGGAGCGGAAGTCGAAACATTCGCTCAGCACCCGCACTGACGCATCAATGCTGAACTTGACAGCCGCCGCAGCGTAGCTGGCGCAGGCAGCCCACCCCAGGGCTTCCACCAGCATGGGAAAGCACGAAGAGGCAGCCGAATCACTCTTTAGGGCCAGGTCTCAACGTTTCGCAGCACGAGCAGCAGACCTTCCTTTCAAAGGGACCGGAGAGCTGCAGGACCGGCCCCCCAACCTCTAGCTTGAGGGCCCAAAGTGCAACTTCAAGCCACCAAATCGAGGTTCCCAACCCCATGAGCATTCCGACGCCAAGGCCACGTGGGCAATTCAAGAACCAACAACCCCAAAGCCCAAACCCTCAAAGCTAGAGTGACCACGGCCACTCAACCTCCAAAGTCAGCGTCCACCCCAGAAGCCGCAGTTCCTAAATTTCGAGTCATCGGAAGCCGCTGAACATCAGAAACCCTGAAGCCTGAACCACCGAAGCCCCCAGCTACAAA